CTTATTCATCTTCTACAATTCTCTGCTGTCAGCAAAAATCTGTGTGTTTCATTCTTCTTCTTCTTCGTTTTCTATGTATTGTTCTTCCAGGTATAAGTGTGTGGGGGTATTACGAGTAGTTTTTGGTTAGTTAGTCAGTCGGTCTGTCGGCGCTTGTATGAGAGAAAAGAACAATTTAATTGGATTGGAATGTTAGCTTTTTAACTACACTTGCAATGCATCAGAACGTTGATACAAACAAACATATATACATGCAGGCAAACATGTTTAGGCAAGAAAACCTCTCAAAGCATTTCTTTTCAAATGCTAGCCATCGTCGACGTCGTCGTGCATGCTTAAGAGAGTGTGAGCCACACATGGATTGTTTATGTGAGTGTGTAACTCACTTTTACCTCATTTCCTTTGGCGCTCCCCTCCTATGACAACCGCTAACTAGGTTGGTTGGTTGGTTGTCTTTGGTTTTTTTTTCCAACTTTTACATAGCAACGTTGGTGCGTGCGAGTGTGTGGGTTGAATGGATGACGAAAAAAAAAACACTAAAAAAGTAAATGCCATGAATAACATTGATTTTTCCCCCATTTGTGTTTTATGTTCATTCCACCACTCACTTTGCTTTCTTTGAACAGCAAGGAAATAAAATACAACCAACAAGACATGAATGACATAATTTTTGTGATATCCTTTTCCCGTTGTTATTTTTTTTCCATCTTTCTGTCATTTCTAACTACCGGAAGTTGTGCAGCAATGTTACTACGGACTTCATTTGTAGCCTAAAATGTATTTGGCATTTTATTTTCTGCAGCACAGAAAATGCCGTTTTTCAATATTAATTTCCTGTTTGTTTTTCAATAATAAATTGAAAGCTTTATAATTTATTTTCGCTCTCTCTCTCGCCTTCTTCCTCTCTCTCTGTCTCTCGTTCTTTAAACTTAGCTCCATTTTTGCCGTACTCGTTATCCGTTACATGGGAGTAAGTATTGTTGTCTCTTTTTCTCTACCCTATGACTGGACGTTGTGTTCCTTTTTCGTTTGCCATACTAAACATGGCTTCATTTCCCTTTTAACACTCGCTGGGTTTTTGTATAATCCAAAGTTGTTGTTATTGTTGTAGCTTGAACACTTCGACAGGAAAAAGAGATACAGTGTGAAAAAGAGAGCCGAAATGTTTCACATGTCACAGACACACGAAGTTGAGTAGCAATGAGTTTCTAACGGGATTTTTTCTTGTTTTTCTTATCGCATGGCACAAGTGATGCCAATGTGACGATTTTTTACACATAATATGTGTATGTGCTATTAAAGCAATCGTCGATGAAATCTACCAAAAGACTCTTTTCAGTCACACTGCTCTATAAGGCAATGAAGACTTTTTCCGTTAGCAAAAAAAAAAAAGATTTCATTTCAGTCTTCAAAATATACGCATCAGCCGAACAAGATTTCGGTGTTGATATTAAGGTGAGAATACATAAAACGTAGACGAACAAAGGAGTCTTAGGTTGACTTAGTTCGATTTTGGTCCTACGTCCCTTTTTTCTTTTATGAAGAATTCAGCCGATGGCTTAAGGCTGGAAATACATAAAGCGCATATTTGGCTGGCTTAAGTCATCGGCTGGCTTCTTCGTAGATGAATAAAGGAGTTTTAGGTTGACCTAGTTCGATTTTGGCCCTAGTCTCCTTTGTTCATTTCCGAAGACGCCAGCCGATGACTTAAGCCAGCCAAATAAGCGCTTTATGTATTCCCAGCTTAAGGGTGCAAATATATAAAAAGCTTGAAATCATGTCTAGGCATATTAATATCAAATTATAATGGAAAACGGCGGCAGGATTTTAGTTCGGCTCTGTATGCCTAGCCATAACTTCAAGCTTTTTATGTACTTGCACCTTAAGGCAGTCAAAATAGAGTTTTATGTATTCTCAACATTACTCTTCTCATAGTAGTTTCTTTTGACATCTTTGCTTTTAAAATAATGTCTTCAGGCTTTTCTGTGATCCTTTTTTAGGTCAAGCAATAGCAAGCCTATAAAATCTGCGAATTAATCTACAATTAATCTAAAAGATTAAAAAAGACTTGCCGTCAGCCAAAATAGATTAAATTTCAGTTTTCAAAAAAATACACTTCATCCGAAAAAGATTTACGTGTCAATTTTACCCTCCTCTAATAGGAGATTCTTTTGACATAGTTGTATTTAAGGTCTGAGTCTCTTTGGACTTTTCTGATATACTCTTTTTAGGTCATTAAGAATACAATTCTAACTATTTAACGGTACGTTTACATTTAAACGGGTAAACCCACTAGATTTGGATTAAAATTGCCACATCCATTACTTATACTTCAAATCAAATTAAATAAATAAATTAAAATTCTAACATAAATATGACATAAAAGGTCTTCAGATATTCAAAATATATCTGCTAAAATTTTACAGTATTTTTACATTCGAGCTTTTTACCGGGTTAACCTTTCTTATGAGGATTTATTTGACGTATGGGAAATGGAAGTGGTAATTTAAATCCAGTAAACTGTATACGTACTATTAATTAAATTGGCCAGGTATTGCCGAAAGCTAAACCTGTGAAGAACTTGATTTGACATATTTGCATTTAAAGTTATTTGTTCAGCCCTTCATATATACACATGCCCTGTTCCCGAAACTGCAAGAATCTACTATTTTTGCAAATTGTTTCGATATCATAAGAGAAAAATCGTTTATCGTAGTAACATTTTTACTTTCTTGCAATTTCTGGAACAATTGCTGTATTCCAGAATCTACTTCTTTTACATTTTTTTTCGATAACATAAAAGAAAAGTCGGTTATCGTGGTAAATAATTGTTCATTCTTGCAGTTCTGGAACAGAGCAAGGTAGTTTTCAACTTGGAAAAAGTCCGAAATTAAAAATAAAATTCCATTCTATTTTCTTTGATAATTATGTCATATCCCTGTACAACTAATAAGGTAAAGTCATGTAATCACATGTTTAAAATTTTTTCAAAAACAAATATTCTTCTGACAACATCTCATTGCCAAAATTTATGTTTATAAATCTATTATAAACAAAGAGATTGGAGATGGGAACCTGTTTCTTATTAAGTGAAATTAGACAAGGTAAATTGAAGAAAACACAGAGATGGATAGTCTTATTTGAAATGACTTTACCTTCTTGATTTTATCATGGTTACATCCATGTGACAAAAATCCCATTCCCAAATTCCCATTCCCATATATCATATATTCATAAATAAATATTTTGACAATAAGATTTTGGCAAAGGAATAATTAAAAAAAATTGTAAACATATAATTGCATGGCTTTACCTTGTTAGTTCTGCCATGGTTATAATGAAGAAGAGGTTTTTTGACCTAGCAGAAGGAAGTTATTCAACCCATAGAGAAATCAAAACTTCCAAGTACCTTTAATTTGATTGGAAAATTAAGACAGTCCCTTCAAATTTTTTGTATAAATATTTTCCAAACATTGAAAAGCAATAGAACAAAATTAGACAATTGGTTTCCAAATATTTCCAAATTTGATTGGGAAATGAAGACAGTACCTTCAAATTACATTAATACCTTTTATGTGGATATTTCCCAAACACAGAAAAACCAGAACGCAAAATTACAGACAATTCTTCCAAAAGGAAGAATATCAAAAGCAAAAAAATGTCAACCTGAAGACAAGACAAGTCTAAATTATCTTAACATTGTTAAAAATGATGAATATTTAATTTGTTTTATAAACGGATCAAATTATCCTTCAACCTTTGATAAAAGATTTACTTAATCGGCCAACAAACCTAGTGATTTACAGACAAGTGATATTACCTTTCCAAACTTAGTGAAATTTTGAACTCAAGTAACTTGACAACACTGTTATTACACAAGGAGCAATGACAAATGTGCTGCATCTTTGTGATTTTTTATTTGATTTGGCGATTTTCCCCACACCATGTTTTCAGTTGACACAGATTAAAGCACACGAGAGCACAAAAAGGCAGAGAGAAAGAGAGATTATGTATTACAAAACAGAAAGAGAGAGAGAGAAGATATAAAATGCTCCACATAGAGAGCTGAGTAGAGTTGAGTTTTGTTGTTGTGAGCCAGGATGATGATGATGATTGAAAATTCAATAACTGACCTAGTTAAGTCAATTTCAAGAAACATGACTCTAGTGTTCCACATTATTGTTCTTCTTTCTTTTGTTGCTGTTATTGTTGTTGCATGGTTGCCTATTTGCCCATTGTCACTACTTCATTCACAATGACAGAGGGGGGGGCAACCTTAATACATATATTTTTGCCATTGTTGTTGTTGTTCTTGGTACACTCCTTCTTTTTTCGAAAATAATTAAATAACCAATTAGAAAAAAAGAAATCACTAATGCCTCCCAGGAAAATTAAAATAAATAAAATGACTTGGCTTGTCATTTTCCACAACGTAACGTGACTCTCACACTGTGATTTAATTTCGACTTTTTTTTTGACTTGTCATAGATGAGGAAAAAAACTTATGTAACCATAAGACAATCACATAATTTTTTTAACTTTAGGATTTTTTCAACACATTAATGGGTCAAATTTAGTAAAATTTGTTAATCTATAGTTTTTGTTTAATAAAAATAACACACTTTCACAAAAATGTCTTTAATTTAAGATAGGAAAAAGGAGTATCATTGGAAATTCCTTCAAAATGATTCTTTGGGAAAAGTCTTTTTTTTTTCTTTCTTTGGTTTCTTTGATTTTAATGTTCTTTTCTCTTTTTTGTGTCAAAAGTTCTTAATAAAATAATTTTTAAAAAAATTGTATATTTTTTTCTCTAGATATTTACGTAAGAGCTCTCTATAATATTTTATATCTGCAGTACCCGAACGAACGACGCGTTAATGGTAACAAAGAAGAATCAGTTTTCACAGTTGTACCTATTCCTATTATTTTTTCCACTTTTTTTGCCAATCCAATAGTGTTAGCTGTGATGTACGGTACGGTATGACAAGAGCGCAGCCTACCAACGTTAAAACACCGTTATTTCTTCTTGTGTCTTTTTTCGCAATGAATAACAAAACTCAGGAAAATCCAGCAAGGACGTCTATAGCTGACTGGAGAATGTTAAACGAGCACACAACAGCAGAAATAGAAACGTTACACCACTGTTTGGCTCATTCGTGTGACTGTTGTAAAGGTGTCATATGTTTGTCTCTTTCACACCACAGTGATATATGGTAGAGATGAAAAACCGTTACATTTTGGTGTGTGCTCAGTTGCAGGGTTGTAAATAGGTGGTATAAATAACGGTAAACTTTGAACTATAGGAAAGTGGATGGAAAAAATGATTGCAAATTGTTTAAATGTCAACAAAAAACTGACAACAACTGAAAATTTGTTAAAATAGTTTGACAAGCTTAAGGGTGGAAATACATAAAGCGCATATTTAGCTGGCTTAAGTTATCGGCTGGCTTCTTCGTAGATGAACAAAGGATTGCTGCTGCTGGGACAATGAACTGTCAAACCAATTTTGGTTTTGAAAATGTTGAATGACAAATTATTTAAATTTGTAAAAATTGTTAAAAAACGCGAATTATAATAGCCTCCAAATGACGTAGTATAAGAAAACATATAAAAAACATTTAATTTTTTTTTTTTTTTTTTGACATGTCAATGCTCCCAAGCGTTGATGCATCTACCTGTATTCTTCTGTCATGCATAAATCTAAGACTAACAGTACGTTTACATATAAATAGGTTAACACACTGGATTTGGATTAAAATTGACATATCTATTACTTATACTTCAAATAAATCATCTTAAAATATATTAACCCTACAAAAAATTCAAACATAAACATGGTATATTATCCGCAAAATATTTGCTCTGTTCCAGAACCTGCAAGAATCTAATAGTATTTTCGATACCATAAAGGGAAAATCAGTTATCGTAGTAAACATTTTTTTGCAGTTCTTGGACCATAGTAGAAGGTTAGAGAACCGCATCGATGCAGCTGCTGGGACAACAAAGTGTCAAACCAATTTTGAAATCTAAAATTTTTAATGAAAAATTCAATTTAATTCACGACTCAAACATTTGTTATTGAACAATTAATTTCTTGAAGGCTCGTTTTTTTACTTATAAGCAGAACTAATGACAATTTTTATAACACGATTTATGAAAACATGTTCGGTGTAAATAAAACCTGGTAATGAGTGTTAATCGTTGTTCCAGAACTACTATTCTTAGATTTTTCTTCAATATTATAAAGGGAAAATCGTTTATTGTAGTAAAATAATAAATATTTGTAGTCCCCCTTATAAAAATGTATTTGTAAAAGGTTTATAATTCGTATAAAACGCCGTACACACATATGCTGTGTTCCGGTACCTGCAAGAATCTAGTATTTTTGCAATTTTCTTCAATACCATAGAGGGAAAATCGGTTATCGTAGTAAAAACTTTTACATTCTCGCAGTTCTGGAACAGACCAATAACAAGTTAGATGGATTTTGATAACTAAAATCAGCTCTAAATGCCGTGGATTTCTAATGATGTGTGCGCAATAGAATTTACAACCGATTTTTTTAGCTTTAGTTTTTAACACATTTGTACTATTTACTGATAAATGTGTTTAGATACACATATTTAAAATGTAAACTGACACCAGTCTACTTACAATAACAAACTTTTAATTTGCTTGCAGTTAATTGTATTTGTTGTAGTTTCTTCTAATAATTCTAATTAATGTACTTTGCATGTGAACTTGGTATAAAAATACCTTTATTTAGGGTCATGGAAATCGACTTTTTTCCCTCAACGATTGGCGGCAATCCTCGAAGTAATCGTTTTATCGATATATCAAAAGCCGATCTACAGTTCCCTAATTTCATTTTTCGAGGTTTCTTTACGAATAACAAATATAATTAATTCTATTCTGACTAAACAATTCCAGTCAGAAAGACGTAAAAACAAGTGCCGTAGCGTGCATAACAAAGCGTAATATATTGCGTGTGTGTGTTTCAAATAACAAAAGAAAAACGAATTCCAAGAATAAATAAATTTATTGTTTTAAGAAAGGTAAGTGCAAATCGAATCAGAAAGTAATTAAAACAATTATTGCTGTGTTTTTTGATAAAGAAGAGATTATGAGGAGGCCTTTGTTTAGTTTTTTAATTTCTAATTGCGTTTTTCTATGCTAGTCAGTTTTCAGCGGTGTTTTTGTTGTTGTTTTAGTTTAACTATGTGACTTTTGTTGTTTGCATTTTGTGTTGTGCAGGCATAGATGGATGACAAATTGCGTAGAATTTTGTACAAGGAAGACAGATAATATAACAGTAATTTATTATTATTCCTTTGGTTGTTATTGTTAACCCGTTAATTTTCTTCGTGTTAATTTTTTCCTATGGAAACAAGGGTTGCCAACATTTTCTAGGATATTTTTTCGTCAAGGTAAACAAACGATGAAGAACAACCTGTAAGGAAATGCGAAAAGGGAAAGGTACAGTAGGCCAAGCAATTAATTTTGACCAATTCAAAGATAAAAAACAACTCTTTGTTTATTTCGATTCAAGCGTCTATCATCGTCAAGTATTTCGTCACAAAAAAGCGTTTCGGAAATAAAACGAAACAAAAAATAGCACAAAGAAGTGATGCAAAAAAAACTGTTGAACATTAATGGGTATTAGACAAAGACAGCGAAGGGGTGATAACAAATAAAGAGGGGCGTCGTTTAACCCAGACAACAAAAAATGAGCTTATCAGCTGAAATTTGCAATGATTTGTGTTTTTTTCCATTGTAAATAAAAACCAGTTTTGATTTTGTTTGTTTCATGTTTTGTTTTGCACGGCTTTCGCTACGTTTTGTGTCGTTTATTGAAAGTTTAATGAAACATTTAAAATGTGTTAGTTGTTTTCGTTTTCATTTTTTTTTTTTTTTTGATATTTTTGTGAACAAAAAGCTTTTGGGGGGTGTTTGTTATTTATTCAAGAAAGATAAATAAAATCATATTAAAATTCTATGCATGAATGCGAACTCTGCCGATCGGAAGTTTATTTTGAATACCTACCTACTTTTTGTTGTATGATTTGTATTATGCCAAAACGTGATAACACAAATGACCCTGGCTTTTTTGAAGATCACTGGGAACCACCATGGAAGTGGTCAATCGAGTTAAACATTGTGCGTGGTGCGCTTTCAAAAGAGGAATTATTCAAAATATCAATTTCAATCTCTTATCATTTCTATTTTTGCATACTCTGCATCTGGAATTGAAATCGAAACACCAATGCCTATAATTTCGTCAAGTACTTTTTGTCGTTGGAAGATCTCTTTGATGTGTTAGGTTGGAATTTGTTTTTGGGATCCATTTTGCATCTAAAGAAGCTGCCTTTACTGGAAGCCCTCTCTTGGAAGCAGACATCTTCAGGAGCTTCCTTTTTTTTTATTAAAAATATCCCTTTTAGACTCCGGTTAAGGCACATCCATTTTATGAGAAAGACGTCACTCCAGAAGATCTAGTGGCGGCTACCATCGAATCTTTAGTGGACGTTAGACCCATAGACGACCACTTCAAATATTTGGAGAAAATCTCTTTAGGGGTCTGTTTATCTCTTTTATGTGTGCCTTATTCGGAGGCCACAAATTTCAGTATTGGAATCCTAAAGTGACTGTAAAAATCGTTCAGAAATGTGCTCTTCTCGTCTCATTCTCAGATTTATGTCTCTCTAAAATAGATTATTAGAAGGTCTTCTGGAAATCCACTCCTTCGGAACGTCAATGTAGCTAGAAATGTCTCCTTCCTCAAAACCCTTGAGAGGCTAGAAAAATACCCTGAAAATGTCAGTATTTAAACCCTAATGGGGCTATAAATATTTGTTTAGAATTGGGTGCTTTTCGTCCCCTTGCCATGAACATTTCATAAGACTTTCCCGTCTTGACAACTTCAATGAAACCATGAAAAACTTCCTGAAACATCCACATCCGAAAAAGCATAAATACTTCCTCAGAAATCCCAGTTTTGGAAATTTAGCTGAGGCCATAAAATTCGCTAAGTAAATCACGTCCTGGATGTTTGGATGAGGGCATACAAATTGCCCAACAGTCAAAAGTTTTTGGAAACTTTTTCCTCATAAAAACTTGAATGAGGCAACGAAAATGTCTTTAAAAGTCCATGTCTTGGAAACATGATGGAGCCATGTCAATTTTCTTAAACGTCCCTGCTTTTAAAACTGGGATGAGACCATAAAGTTCCCTAGGTATACCTTGAATGAGGCCACGAAAACCTCCTTAAAATTCCATGTCTTAGAAAAAAGATAAAGCCATGTGAATTTTCTTAAATGTCCACGCGTTTAAAACTGGGATGAGACCATAAAGTTCCCTAGGTATACCCTGCCTTACTGCCTGGTAAACATTACCATCGTTCTCCACAAAAAAAACAGATGTTGTTTTTATAAAAAACAACAATAATGGGATTAAGCCTGAACATTTTGTAAGAACAAAAAAGTTTCATGAAACAAGTTGTTGTCATGAAACTTCATAATTCCAAAGAATACCATTAGATTTTTATTAAAAAAAACTTGTCTTGAAATTTTTGATAAGGCCATGAAAATTACCTAAAACATCCCACCTTGAAGACCATAAAAATTCCCTAAAACATCTGCCCCTTGAAAATTTGAATAAGGCCATAGAAATTCCCTACAAAAAATTCAAGTCTTGAAAACTTCAAGAAGGCCATGAAAATTGCCTAAAACTGTCCACGTCTTGAAGACCATAAAAATTCTTAAAACATTTACGCCTTGAAAATTTGAATAAGGTCATAGAAATTCCCAAAAAAAATCCAAGTCTTGAAAACTTCAAGAAGGCCATGAAAATTGCCTAAAACTTTCCCCACCTTGAAGACCATAAAAATTCCCTAAAACATCTGTAGAAATTTTCCCTAAAAAATCCAAGTCCTGAAAGCTTCAAGAAGGCCATGAAAATTGCCTAAAACTTTCCACTTCATGGAAAATTGGATTGGAGCCTAAAAATTCTCTTGAATTTCCTAGATATAGTCATATTTCACCATTTTCTTCGTAGCCATTCGATTCGATTGTGTTTTTGTCTAGCATTTTGTAACCCCCAGTATTTCTCAATTTTTGGTTGGCAAATAACAAAAAGAACCCCCCAAAGAATAACTTTACCTTTCTGAAATTCAATATTCTCGAAGGGGGGTGAGTGTCTGGATTCATTGTTTTATTGTTTAAAAGATAACAAAAAAAATATCGGGGATTAGTCATAAAATAAAATGGGACATTACACAAATCGATTGCAAAGCATATTCTCTTCCTTGTCCTGTGCAGGAATATCACTTTCATAAACATTCTTTATGCAACATTTCAAAAAGAAGATAATGGTGGACAATGGAAAATTGCCCCCCTCAAGGTCATTGACTAGAATCGGCTATGGAATTGAAATGCAAGTCCTATGGATGGAAAATCAGAGAGGTATTTGAGTAACAATTATTGGAATAACCATTTTTAATTAAAAATCGTTTTTTATTTTTTTTAGAATATTATAAAACAAAATGGGAATTTCTCTTAATCACCAAAAATACAGATTAATTTGTTTTCGTTAGAAGAAGAATAATGATTGACAGTTTAATGATAATAACAATAATGGAGCGATATTAAAATACGCCTCTTATTTTCAAATCTAATAATTAGTTATCAGTTAGTCATAGCGCAATAGAGAGACTGTATTAAAGTGAAAACACATAGAACAAGTTTTTTACTGGCTTAAGTCATCGGCTGGCTTCTGCGTAAAAGAAAACAAAGGAGTTTAAAGTTGACTTAGTTCAATTTCGACCCATAATTTATAGTTGTTCTCCCTATGCTCCTTTGTTCTTTTACGAAGGAACCACCCGATAACTTGAGTCAGTCAATATATAGCCTTCTATGTATTCTAATCTTTAATGTGTTACGAATCCTCGAAAACTAAATTGAATTAAATGAAAGTCCACAAATGGTCAATAAAATGTAGGAAAAAAATTTACAACATAATCAAAGATTTATAACTTTAGATAGATAACTTGTACATTGTCTGTTGTTATCTTTTAACCCAAGCAAATCATAAAAAACTCCGGACTCCAATCGACAAATAGCTACTACGTTTGCGTTTTTTTTCCATACACTTTCAAATTCTAAGAAATATATGTGTGTTGGTTTGAAAACAAAAAAACCATTACTAATTTAGCACCTCACCACGATATTCGGTATACAGTATTCGGTACCAGTACGTACTCTGGTACGAGTGATATTAATCATGTTTCAGGCAATGTTTTTTCCTTGCCTTTTGCAACCAACGACTGAATTTTTATAGAAAATCTTTTGATTGTACACGACTCTGTAAAGACCATTTATATAAAAAAGGCCTTTTAGAAATCTACCAACTCTTGAAGACTCCTTTCAAATTCTAAAAATATATTTGTGTGTTGATTTCGAAAACCAAAAACCATTACTAATTTAGCAACTCAACACGATTCTCATTGAATAGATTTTAATTTTAAATTTCATATACCTTAATCGGTGCCAGTATGTACTCTGGTACGAGTGATATTAATCATGCTTCAGGCAATGTATTTTTCCTTGCCTTTTTTTGCACCCAACGACTGTATTTTTATAGGAAATCGTCTTTTTGTACACGACTCTGTATAGACCATTTAAAGTCATCTCTATATAAGAAGGTCTCCTTTTAGAAGTCTACCAACTTTTGAAGACTCCTTCATGAAGTCTGTTGCAATGACCATTGCTTCAATTTTTCATCAATTGAAGATATTTTCAGGAGGAAACCTATCTCTAAAAGACTTTTTCAAAAGGTTTACTCTTTTATCTGTAGTAGACCGGAGGTATTACTTCCGTTGAGGACCTATTCTGGAATTCTCACTACAGATTATCATCTATTTTTATACCCTTCACCAGTCTGTGAGGGATATATTAGCTTTGTCATTCCGCTTGTAACTCCTCGAAATATTCATAATAGACCCTACAAAGTATATATATTCTGGATCAGCGTAAAATTTTAAGATGATCTAGCCATGCCTGTGTGTCTGTCTGTATGTTATAATCACGCTATCTCTCGAACGAATTGAGATAGAAGACTAAAATATTGCATACATGCATAGTTTATCAGAAGGCAGGTTAAGTTCGTAAATGGGCCATGTCCGGTCCACGTTTTCGTATAGCCCCCATATGATGGAGCTCCTGACATTTGGTATTTTGATAATTTTAGCGACATTATTTACCGGAACTATTTCATATTTAAAGTTCGCAATGGGTACTTCATCCTATGGCAAACATTTTTGTATGCAGGTCCACGCTACCTCTCAATATTCGGTATTTTCATGATTTTAGCGACAATATTTAACAGAATCGTTTCAAATTTTGTATTGGAAGATATTAATTGGTACGACAACCTATGGTAAAACATTTCGTATGCAGGTCCTCGTTTTCGTATAGTGCCCATATGACGGTACCTCCCGATACTTGGTATTTTCTTGATTTTTGCGACATTATTCATCGGAATTGTAATAAATTTTGTATTTAAAGTTCTTAATGGGTACTACAGGTTAGGACAAACAATTTTGTAAGCAGGTCCACGTCTTCGTATTCGGATTTTTTTTTTTTTTTTTTGAAAATTTTCAATTTCCTTCCAAATGGTGTGGAGGTTATTCGTATCGTCGTAAAAGCCCACATAAGCACCTAAGGCATGTATTTTTCAAGCATTTAAGACGCAGATTCGTTCTACAATTTTAAAACCTTATTCAACACCTATGAAGGAGATTGTTTTTAAAAGATTTTTACTATCCGATCCATCTCTAAAGCAGAGACTATGGTATTTTCCCTAGAAGAACTCTTTCGGAATTTTGTCCACAACGATATCGTCTATATTTTAAAGATCCCTTCACCAAGTCTTCTATGGTCAAAAATGCCTTTAAGGAAATCTATCTATAAAAGACTCCTTCAGCTGGTATTCAATTTATTTAAGACCCCTTTATGAGCTCTTTGATCTAAATCCTATGATGTTTCCTTTTTTTCTTCAGACGTGAATTTTCAAAAATTGAAAGGTTCATTCACGCATGGGTTTTTTTTTTTTTTTTTTTTTTTTCAAGAATTTTAAAAACCTCAAGTCGCAGATTTTTTTAGAATATTAAAGGCATCTCCAAACAAAGAGGAACCCGATATTTCAGCACCCAAGTGAAAAATTGAAATAACCTCAAGATGCGGATTTGAATTTTCTAGAATTTTTATAGCCTTAACACAGGTACTCAATCTTCATTTATTTTTCCAAAAATTAGCTTTATTTAAAATATGTGGTTTTTATAGCCTCTTCCATGCTCGCAGGGCGCGTCTTTTTTTTCAAGAATTTTGAAAAAAGGTTATTTAAGACCCCTTTATGAGCTCTTCGATCTAAATCCTAGGATGTTTCCTTTTGAAGGTTTTTTTTTTCATTCCTCCAGACGTGAATTTTCAAAAATTTAAAGGTTCATCCACGCATGGTTTTTTTTTTTTCAAGAATTTTAAAAACTTCAAGTCGCAGATTTTTTTCTAGAATTTTAAAAGCTTGTTTTTCCAAACAAAGAGGAATCCGATATTTCAGCATCCAAGAGAAAAATTGAAATAACCTCAAGATGCGGATTTGAATTTTCAATAATTTTTAAAGCCTCAACACAGGCACTCAATCTTGATTTATTTTGTAAAAAGTTGGCTCTATTTTAAATATGTTTTTACAGCCTCCTCCATGCTTGCAGAGTGCGTCTTTTTTTTTTTTTTTCAAGAATTTTGAAAAAAGGTTATTTAAGACCCCTTTATGAGCTCTTCGATCTACATCCTAGGATGTTTCCTTTTGAAGGTTTTTTTTTGCATTTCTCCAGACATGAATTTGCAAAAATTGAAAGGTTCATCCACGCATGTTTTTTTTTTTCAAAAAATTTAAAAACCTCAAGTCGCAGATTTTTTCTAGAATTTTAAAGGCTTGTCCAAACAAAGAGGAACCCGATATTTCAGCATCCAAGAGAAAAATTGAAATGACCTCAAGATGCGGATTTCAATTTTCAAGAATTTTTAAAGCCTCAACACAGGCACTCAATCTCCATTTATTTTTTAAAAAGTTGGCTCTATTTTAAATATGTGGTTTTTATAGCCTCCTCCATGCTCGGAGGCGTCTTTTTTTTCTAGAATTTTGAAAAAAGGTTATTTAAGACCCCTTTATGAGCTCTTCGATCTACATCCTAGGATGTTTCCTTTTGAAGGTTTTTTTTTTTTGCATTTCTCCAGACGTGAATTTTCAAAAATTGTAAGGTTCATCCACGCATGTTTTTTTTTTTCAAGAATTTTAAAAACTTCAAGTCGCAGATTTTTCTTCTAGAATTTTAAAGGCTTGTCCAAACAAAGAGGAATCCGATATTTCAGCATCCAAGAGAAAAATTGAAATAACCTCAGGATGCGGATTTGAATTTTCAAGTATTTTTAAAGCCTCAACACAGCCACTCAATCTTCATTTATTTTCCAAAAAAATTGCTTTATTTAAAATATGTGGTTTTTATAGCCTCTTCCAAGCTTTTAGGGAGCATTTTTTTTTTCAAGTATTTAGGTTGCCTCAGCTAAGTAATGCTAGAATTTTTTGAAGAAAGTTTTGAGATTTATTTTAATTTTTTGCAGTTATTTTCAATCATATTGAAGTTTTGTGTTGCTAGCGAGTAGAAGGTATACTCCATAGAAAACTGCCATCTTAGATCCAATTTTTATATGTACAGATCCTCCCGTCCTATTGTAGTTGACTTTCTTTTGTATTTTCGTTTTATCTAATCTCTTTTTTCCTTTTTCTTTTTAGCATTCAACTTAACACATCTCTTTTCATCACAATGCGTCCAGTATTAGCTTTGCTGGCTTTGGTAGCCGTAACACAAGCCGTTTCATTGACTGAAGTCATTAAAGAGGAATGGCATGCGTACAAGGTAAGTTTTGGATTTTTAGAATATAATATATAAATAAGTTATTATTGCTATTTTTCATTCATTGCATATAGACAGGGAAGGGAAACTATTTATTTGGTTTTAGTATCACATTTTTGCGTGTCAACATTCAATAGCTGACGATCTTATCTATTGTGCTAAATAAACTCCCTTAAGTAGTTCAAGTGCTATTCTGCCATTGTCCGATTTTATCGCTATGTATGTGTTTCAAATGCCACAAAATATTGGGACAATTAGTCATTCTCAACTTTGAAATTTTATTGAACACAAACTCAATTCAAAACACAAGCAGTCGTAAAACAAACGGCAGAAGGAAAATCCCCATCATCAAATTCATTGCACTTTACATTAACCCAAAAACACCATGTCTAAAGTTGCATTTGTTCCAACACAAATACAGCAAACAGGGCTTTGTGTTATTTATGAGAGGAATTCAATTTTCAAATAAATATACAAAACGTTAATTATTTTTTAATGTGCTCTTCAGAAATTTGATATCAGTGGCATTTATTAAACAAAGCAATTCCATTCCTTTCAACTTTCTTGTCGTGGTTTCAAATGCAAGAAACTTTAAAAAGTTTTGTTTTGTTTACAGTAAAAGCTGATCTTTTGTTTATATCCGAGTTAGTCAGCAATCATATTATCACGCTAACCAGCCCAGTCCAGCCCGGCCATCCAGAGCCAGCATGCATGCATTCACCATTACTCATATACATAATTATCACATGACAATAACATAGCGTGATTTGATTTTGTTTAAGCGTTTTGTTGTTTGGCTTTTATGTGAATGTCGTAGATGATATTTTACAATAAAAACAAACATACTTAGCTTGGATATAAGCGGAGTTTTGCTGAGCTTAACATTTGATTGTGCCATGCCTTAACATTCACCCCAGCAAAGAAAAATGGCCAACAAAAACCAATTCCCTGATTAAAACAAAATAATGATGGCATTTTCCTTTTTAATCAAATGAAAGAAGTAATGAACTCTTTTTTTCTTTGTCTCAAACACAGGAGGGCAAAGTTTAAATTATTGCTCCCTTTCATCAATCGTATCGGTTGGCGAAAGAAACGTGCTCAAGTTGAATGAATGCTGGTGAAATTTAAATACGTTCTTTGCCATGAATCTTGCATCGTTCAGCTTCCGATGATTATTATTCCCGTTGTTATCTCATTTTGCGTTTTATTATTTATTTTCAAGTAATCTCGTATGTAAATATTTGCAATAAGTCATTGATTTGGGTCATCATACGGCTTGGCCATAACTGGCGGCGGCTGATTATCAATAACGTTTTTTTTTTTCTCTCAATCCTCCTTATCTGTCCAATACACTTTGTTTTACGGCATCACTTTTTAGTTTATTTATATAGTAATCTATGATTTATTTACAGCCAAGCTTAAAATCTCCCAGTCTGTGACCATTGCCGGCCGGCTAGTAGACTTTTTAAGTATTGTTTTGTAAGTTTTGAATTTCCCTAGGTTTGGAGAACGATTTTCTTCATTATTATATTATATATTGTTTAAATAAAACAACCTCGCTAGGTTCAAATGGGATGAATATGAATTCCAACTAAAGTGTTCTATTGATTATTTCATTTTGAAAATGAAGCATACTTTTAGGCCAATGCATTTAATAATGAAACGGCCAAATTTTTCTACATCAGAGTTGCCATTTGATTCAAAATAAACAGGAAAATGAGGCAACAACAAAAAAAGAACTTATTTGTGAAACTATTAAGTTCTGAATGTTTGCACCAAAATTGATTGGAAGATGATGAAAATTACCGATTTTTTTAAAGACAGACCAGATGCAAATATTGTTGAAAATACACCACGAAATTGAGGCTGCAAGACGGTGCTCAGCAGTAATTTTTCATTAACAATTTATAATCCTGGAGTATAGAGAATATGCAGATATTAGTGAATATTTTTTTTATGAAAAAATGCCTTTATTGAAGGCTGCCAGGGTATACCACTGATGAAATTGTTCCTTCTTCAAAAAGTTGTATTTAAATAGAAGACTTGTCTCCAGGGCTTAATACAATTCCGGCAAAACCTGAAATTGAAAGAATCGATTCACATATTGAATTAACATGACCCACTCTGGAACATTTCTTACATTGATGCAACTTTTTCTTCTTCAAAAAATTGTATTTAAATAGGAAACTCGTCTCCAGGTTTTAATACAATTCCGGCAAAACCTGAAATTGAACGAATCGTTTCACACATTGAAGTAACATGTCCAATTCTGGAACATTTCTTACATTGATGGAATTTTTTCTTCTTCAAAAAGTTGTATTTAAATAGAAGACTTGTTTCTAGGTCTTAATACAATTCCGACAAAATCTGAAATTAAAAGAATCGTTTCACATATTGAAGTAGCGTGTCCAACTCTGGAATTTTTTTTAAAGGTCGGTTACGAATTTAATTTGATCAATGCTTCAGCAATTAAAAGATTGTACCGAATGGGGTTGCTAAAGTGCTACCCGATAGATCGACCCATGACAACTCGTTTATTATTCCGTTAAAACACTCCACCTGGGCTCCAGCGAAACAGTACAATGATAAAACGTTCCACAGAAAATTTAATCTTCACTTCATGTGCTCCCAAGCTTAATACAATTCCGACTTGAACGTGCTAAAATGTTGGTATAACAATTTTAATATTTGATTAGGTTTTTTCTTTTGTTAATTTTACTTACCTGCTGTTGGTGGCGGTGTCTTATTTTTATGGATTTGTTAAATGCTTAAATAAACAAAATACAGTCAGAGTTTTTGTCTGGTGTCTCTTGCAATGATGATATTCTTACCAAAAGAACGTGTTTGCGAAGAAATTTTTGTTAAAATAATTGTTGTATTAATCTATTATATTGGCCGCCCGCATGGCAATGTGTTTCTGTTTGTTTAAGTCTTCTATTTTCTATTTCATAGTACCGAAATTATATCGGTCATTCTTTTCTGCTATTCAGTTGATTACTTTTTGCCTGTCTGCCTGCCAGCCAACAAACCAACCAGCATCCTTAATATTACATTTCATCATAATTTAGTTAATTGTTACATTATATATTTTTTTCAAAACACTTTATTTTATTATAATAGTTGTATAAATCAATTTATTGGCCCGCGTGGTAATTTCTTTCTTTTTGTGTCAAAAGATCAGCTGTTAATCTATTTTTCTGTTGTTTTCATTTCCGCCCGCCATTTAGCCAGCATCCTTAATCATGTGTCATAATAATTAAGTTAGCCGTTTAGTTCTATTGTCTCTGTCTCTCTAACACGCCTTGACATGTGTTTTATTGAGAGTTAGGGCTGTTTCACATAAGGCAATTTAACTTTCAGCAATTTCTCGGTTTGGCGGTAGGAATTACCTAACACAAATAATGTCTAATGAATATGTGTTGGGGATTGTGTTGAAAAAGGGGGCTTGGTTTAAATGTTTTAAAACACACTGTTCGTCCTATGAAAATACATGTAGCCACCTTGCTTGCTCTCTTTCTTACTTTTTGTTATGTTGGAAAATTGAGAATTCTCCAAAGGAGAGCAATGTTAAAAGTGCTAAATTCTTTGAGCATAATACCACAATGTTCTTTGTACATAAATAGCACCGAAAACCCCCCTCTCTCGCACTATTCTATTCCATGTGCATGAGAAGAAGAAGCAGCAGCATATCACCCAAAAAAAAAAAAAAAAAACAACCATTGAAAAAGAATCAAAGTGGTGGTGCTTGCTTTGTTAGTTGTTGTTGATATTTTTGTATTATTTTGGTGTTTTTGCTGCTCATTGTTCTACTGCGCCGCTGAGTGTGCTGTGCTGTGACGTTTATCGTTGCCTGCCTTCCACTACGGCTGCCTAATGTTAGTATTTATGATAATAGTGCTGCTCTCTCAGTAGTATTAGCGACATACACCAGCAAGGTTGCTTGGTTTCGTATAGCGGCGGCATTTGCTGTGTGAAATTCTTGTTTTTTTTTGTGATTCTTTTTTGGAAATACCCGCAAAAAATTTAATATTAAATTATTAGAAAAAAAAAAACTCAAGTGAAATATATTATAACCAGAAACCAACACATTTACATAAATCATAAAAAAACAAATTTTGGAGAGCAGCACAACCCCCCACACAGAGAGGAAAACTGAACTTAATTTTGCCTTAAAAACCCCACCAAATAAAACACAAAAGGACAACAAAATGACAAAAGAACTACAACCCATTGACATGGTGACAGATGTCTATGTGCCGGCCGTCATAATTGCTGTGCTCTTCATTGTCAATGGCATTATTTTGTTTTACATTTTCCAAAAACGAAAATTAGTTGTCTATGAGGATATCAACGATGAGCCGGCCACAACATCCACAAATGCTGGCCAACGGGCGATAGATGATGGCAACACCATCGAATTGGGATCATTATGAAAAAAGATATGGCAGAATATCTTGGCTAGAAAACAAAAACAACAGCAACTAAACAACTAGTAAATCATTGGTTCCTGTTTGTGAGGTTCCAAAAGGCTCCCCCAACTGGCTGGCGACTTGTTTCTTCTGGTTGGCAGTGACATTTTTACAAACAAATTAGCTTAAGCACTTTCTTTATTTGTATTAAAAAAGAGAACTCCATGTGTATACTGGAAGGAAATCTATGAAGGTTTCCTTGATTTTTTTTTTTTAATTTTATATAGATTTAAGTTATTAATGTTTGTTAATTATTATAATTAATAATGCTTCACACTTTCTTTAAAATTAGTTTTTTTTTAGTTGAAAAAAAAACGAAAAATTATGACTGGATATGAATAAATATGGAAATATTGTAATTAATACCCAAACAAAATCAATCATGGACATCTCTCCTTACTAAATAAATACCGGGAATATTGTCTAACTCTGCTTTATAAGGATTGAATGTAGGATTATCAGACGGACGCTACATCTATGGCATAGCTAATAAATCCACCTTTCAATCAAACAAGCGGTACACTCAATTTGTTT